ATGATGGCTTTGGAGTCCATCTCCACCATCACCCGAAGAACCCCCTTTTCCAGGCAGAGCCGTAGACCCTCCCTTAGGCCCCACAGTTCTGCTACGAAGCTATTGGCTTTACCGATCTTTGTTGTGAAACCCCAAACCAGTCTCCCCGTGCTGTCTCGAACTAGTCCACCCGCGGAAGCAAGGCCCGAACTACATTTGGCTGCTCCATCGGTGTTAAGCTTGAACCAACCTTGTCTTGGAAGGAGCCACTGAACCCAGACTGCGCGCGCTTTGAACACTTCCCCTATTTTTGAGAGACTAGAGAGCTCTCTAACCTGTGAATTAACCCAATGCACAGTTGCTAGAGGAGTGGTTTTTTTGTGTTGGAACGTCCAAGCATTTCTGTTTTTCCATATTGACCACAGAGTAAACAAAAAAAGAGATGACCAGTGTCGAATGTGATGAGTGGAACAATTTATTTTGATCCAATGTTCCACCGTCCAGTGAATGGGAAAGCTAAAGCCTGGAGGTGTTTCTGAAAGCTTCCACGTGACCTGAGCTGTGACGCACTCCCAAAAAAGATGCCTTAGAGACTCTTTTTCTGAACCGCAACAAGGGCAAGAATTGGACTCTGCAATGTGTCTCCTAAACCGTTCAACGTAAGTCAGCAGCCGTCCTTTGAGAATGAGCCAGATAAAGACCTTAAATTTTTTCCTAGCAGTTCAACTTCCATATCCACTCCTAATCATTATTGTCAACATCAATCCCTGCAACACAAGAGTAAGCAGATTTTGTCGTAAACTTACCTGTTTCGCTGCTTGTCCATCCAATGGAGTCTCTCGCCCTATCATTGAGCGTGATCTGTATCGCACGGATGTTGTTGATTATATTCTCTGGAAGAATCTCTTGTAGTTTCGGTAGATCCCAAGTTTTGCTAGGAAGGATGAAGTCACTCACCATGCAAGACTCGAGGCCCTCCGGTACTACAACACTCTGATCAAGGCCAAGCGGAATGTTTCCTACCCACCAATCTGTCCAAACATTTATCGAGTGACCATCCCCAACTTTCCACACAGCGTTGGATATGACTGTTCTTCTACCTCTGATAATGCTTTTCCAAGCCCACGAGGCGTTCCCTGGCACCGGGGCGGAAAAGAACTCCCATTGTTTCACGTACTTATCTCTCACAACTTTGACCCAGAGCTTATCCGAATTACCACACATTTGCCAAGCAAGCTTAGCGAGAAGAGCGTCGTTGAAATGGCTTGCTTTCCGAAGACCGAGCCCTCCAGAGTCACGGGGTTGACACACTTCATCCCAATTTACCAAATGAATCTTCTTCTTATCTTGGGTATCCCCCCACAAAAAGTCCCTACAAATCTTATCAATACTATCGCACGTGCCTTTTGGGAGGGCTAGAGCTTGCATTGTGTACACAGGGATCGTCGCAAGGGCCAACTGCGTGAGAATCCTTCTTCCTGCGAGACTAAGTGAATCACGCTTCCACCCCGAGAGTCTCTTCTTAATTTTTTTGTTCTAGAATATACGCGAAACAGCCTTTAGAAACTCTCTTATGTAAGATGGGGATACCCAAGTATTTTCCCATGTTGTCTGACACCGGGATCCCCGCCACCTCTCCAAGCCACCGTTTGACCCTATCACAGGTGTTAGGAGAACAAAAAATAATAGATTTATTAAGATTGATGGACAAACCTGATTGGCGTGAAAACTTGTCAACCACCGATAAAATGGATCTGAGTTGTTTTTCCGAAGCTTCACCAAAGAGAATAAGGTCATCCGCAAAGAACAGATGCGAGATGTCCGAGCCCCCACGAGCCACCTTGTAGGGTTTCCAACGGCCAGAGTTGACTTCCTCTTGAATTGCCCAAGAAAGGATCTCCATGGCTAGAATAAACAGATAAGGGGCCAAGGGGTCACCCTGCCTCACTCCTCTACCCACCCCAAAGGCGGGAAGCTTGCCCCCATTCCAGTTGATAGAAATGGTGCTTTCTTTGAGAGAAAACATGATAAGAGAAATCAAACGAGAAGGGAAGTTAAACTTACTGAGAACCGCCTCTAGAAACCCCCAGTCAAGACTATCGTAGGCCTTATGGATATCCAGTTTGAGGACTATGAAACCCTTCTTGCCCTTAGCTTTAGTCATATTATGTATCACCTCTTGAGTCAAGACCACATTGTCCAGCGTAGACCTTCCCGGTAGAAAACTATTTTGGAACGGGCCCACCATTTTCTTCATGATCGGTCTGAGCCGATTGACCAGGACTTTGGAGACAATTTTGAAAATCACGTTTAAAAGCGTGATTGGCCTGAAGTCCCCCGCATTTTCAGGATTCTCTTTTTTTGGGAATTAGGGTCATGTAAGCTTCCAACATACCCCTTGGGATGGTACCTGAAGTGAGACAAGAGTTAACAAAATGTGTTACCGAGCCACCCACGATATCCCAATAATGCCGATAGAAAGCTGCTCGGATCCCATCAGGACCCGGACTCCCAAAGCGTTTCATGGCGAAGACAGCCTGGCGGACCTCATTTACCGTAGTAAGTCGGATCAAGCTTTGGGCCTGTCTATCACTAATGGCGCTACCGCTCACAAAAGTAGGGGCCTCTCTAATATCGTCTTGATTCCTGCCAAAAACAGTTCTATTTTTCACATGTTCTTCTTTTCTAAGTATTTCGTATTAACAAGATATTTTTGCATCTGCAGGATGGTTCTTTAGCTATTTGTTTTCTGCTTGTGCCAAAAGTTTATTGAGTTAGCAGAGGTAAATTAATTATATAAGTTTATATTATGCTTTCAATATGTTACTTTGGGCATGGAGATGGAATATATTTCAAACTATGATGCTAATTGCTATCAGACTGAACACCAATTGCAGTTAAGAATTTTATTTTATATTATTTATATCACATACTTATTACTTTAATGTTTATGATTTATGAATTATGAACACTTGAATTTGTAATGAACTTAATTATTTATTCTCAATTTTTTTTCATTGTGTAGGAGGATTCTGGACAAGAGGAGATTATGTTAAGCCATGACTTCAGTAGTAGGTGGATTAACTAATGCAATACTGATTGTTTGTAAAAATAGATGATTTGTGAGTATTGTTGAGTTAAGACTGAATGTAGAGTCATCTGGTTTGCATAATGAAAGAGCAGGTGTCTTCAGCTTTTTTTTTTTTTAATGGAGGAAGTATGTTTTTACAGAATTCTCAGGGAAATGCTAGTGTTTGCAACTTGTTTTTTTGAGTATTTGGCAGTGAGGGATTGTTATTCTTTCATTTTATGATTGAATAGTGAATACTGTTATGTTTACATTATTGTTATTATGTTCGTATGTTTGTATTGTGGGCTTATGATTTTGGTTGTTGTTAAACTTGTGATGGACTTTCGTATTATGAATTTGTAGACTTATAATTATCGAACTTGTATGGTTGAGTTTTGTATTATAAACTTCTTTTATTAAACTTGTGTTGTTAGAAATTTTATTATAAAATATATGAACTTAGTTTTGTCGTTTAAGGTATATATTAAAACGCTTTAAAATGTAGGCCTTAAATAGGCTTTCAGCCTATTTAAATTGGCTCAAAGCCTATTTAGGACCTATTTTGAAGCCTTTTAAAAGCCTATTTATTAAATAGGCTTTTAAAAAGGATTCAGACTAGGCCAGGCCAATTGCAGGCTCAGGCTTGAGCCTAAAAAAAAACCTACATACAGGCCCAGGCCCAGGCCCAGGCTTTAGATTTTCCTAACAGGCCTAAGCCTAAATTTCGAAAGCCTGGCTCGGCCTGGCCTATTTCCACCCCTACGCCACGCTATCAAACTGAATAGGATGGTGGTCGGAGTGCGTGCAAGGCAGGATGTGGGTTTTTCCCTCCGGGAAGAAGAACTGAGCTTCCATATTCCAAAGGACCCGATCCAGCTTCCTTCTAAGTGTGATCCTTTCCCCCACTTTCCTATACCACGAAAACCTGGATCCAGAAGTCCCAAGGTCCATGAGCCCACAGTCATTCACAGTTTCTAAGAACCTGTCAACAGAACTGGCAATGATCTCACCGACCCCCCATTGGTCAGCTTGCCCCGAGATATCATTAAAGTCTCCAAGCATCACCCAAGGGTCTTTGAAGGAATTGGAATACTCCTTACAGCCCTGCCAAAACAAATCTTTTGCCCTACGAGTGGGCCTAACATAAGCAAAGGAAATACGAAAGTTCTTACCGTCATGGCGAGGGATCAACGTATGGATGGATTGAGAGTTATGTCCCACCACTGTTAACGGGACACGATCTTTATTCCAAACCAGAAGGAGACCACCCGCAAACCCAAGAGAATCAACCATAAAGGAAGAACAGAAACCCAGCTTGTCACCCATTTTCAGTAGACCACCAGCCTCTTTAGTCTTTGTTTCCAGAAAACAAAGAGCGCCAACCTCAGATCTTTTAAGGAGCTCCTTGGCGTGACGCCTAGTGCCTCCACTCTTGACGCCCCTACAGTTCCAAGCAATAACAATCATTGGGAAACAACGGGGGCGGGGGAAAAAGTATTACCGCTTTCCTCCGGTGCGTTATTCAGGTCCATAGATTGGACAATGCTGACTGAGGGGTGTCAAAAAACGAACGTGCCAGAGCTGGCCAAAGACTTATCCACCGGGCTAATGTTACTAACGCCATTTTTCACATTAACCTTGTCTGTTCTCTTTCTGCCTTTCCTGCCATTGGTTTTTTTAGTCCCTAAGCTGCTAACCTTCTCTGCCATTACAGCATTGTCATCCATGTGGGATTCACTCTGAAAGCCAAAGTTAAGGTTAGTGTTATTTAAATCAAAGGTGGCAGCAGATTTACCTGCGTCAGCGGCGGAGTTTGTAAGGCCACCGTGGGCTTCCCTTTCCGACGCTGGAGATATGTCCCCATTACTGAGCTGCACCGAATCTTCTTGAAGCACTGAGAACATGTTGGGAGACTGAGCCGGAGCCTTCCCCTTGTCCATTCTGCGATGTGCTAGGAGATTGTGATGGTGCCTTCCCTTTTTCTTTTTGCGTCACCTTGGGAGGGGACTTCTTGTTTTGTTTTTCCCTGATTCGCGTGCTTATTTTGGACGATCATCCACTGACCATACCTCCACATCTCCGGTGCAGGTTCCGGAGGGGTGTTGACGGTGGTCTCTGTCTGTTCCATAGGAGAGGCGGCCTGTTGCTCCGTCTGATCAGCAACCACCTGCTTGTTCTTTGGACAGACATTGGATCTATGTCCTACTTCTCCACAATAAAAACAAATGGTGTGGAGTCCTTCAAATTCCACCTGCTGAATCCAATCCTCCACAATAATCATAGACGTGAGTGGTTTCTTGAGATCTACTTCCACCGCAGCACGTTCAAAATGTCCCTGATCAACTCCAGTGGTGGTTCTATCCAGTTTCACCGGAGTTCCCACCTGTCGAAGAATTTTTTTGATAGTGTCGTTTCGAAAGAGCTCCACCAGTAGTCCTGGCAACCTAACCCAGACTGTCATCTTCTCTACGGTGGCTTTGGCCGGATTGAACCTTGGGGTCCAACGTTGAGGCACGACATAATGGTTGAAAACTTTATAAGGACCGCCAACAAGGGCGTTCATGCAGTCTTTCGCCCGATCGAAACGGGCAACGTACCAGTTATAGCCCAGATCAATCAACTGAAATTTTCCCTCTGTGTTCCACATCCTAGAGAGGCGGTTTAGCAGAAGGTTAAACGCGATCCGCTTACCAAGAAATTTCAAAGTCAGAGCGTTCCTCCAAGGTTGGACGATTTCTTTCCGGAGCTCCTTTGAGAACGTGACCACCGGGAGACCCAGTGGGTTCTCCGGAGGCACCATTTCCTTCTCCAAGGCCGCTAAAATCTCCTCGCTGAGCCAGCCATCGTTATCAGCTTCAACCATCGCGTCATCGCCGGGTTCAGGGATGGCCGTTGCCGCCGTCACCGCGTCCGCAAACGATCTCTTAGACCCCCTGAATCTCTTGAAGGTCCTTGCCGGATCTCCATCCGGTGGGGCGCCGGGCGCCGACGGTAGATCTGCCGGAGCATGCATGGGAAAGGAAAGAGCAGGAAAACAGGATCGCTCTCAGACTTACCAAAAGAAACCAACGGTCAAATCCTCCAAATTATCTTGAAGAATATATCACTTGCCATAAAAGCAATTAATAATAAGAAGATGCATTTTCTTATTTTTGAAAAGTGAAACTTGGATAAATTTTTTAACCTTATTTTGTGGAACAAAAAAAACTTACTTTAAAAAGGAAGTATATAGAATATATATAGGGATGGCAATGGGGCGGGGCGGGGGCGGGGAGTATACTCCCCGTCCCCGTCCCCGCGACCCTGTCCCCATCCCCGTCCCCGTCCCCGTCCCCGGCGGGGAATTGAAAATATTCCCCATCCCCGTCCCCACGGGGAATTAGGCGGGGACGGGGATTCCCCATTCCCCGTCTACTATTAGTCAAAATGTTAAACAATTGTAATTTAAAAAAATAATAATAATAATTTAAGTTCTAATTTTAAAAATTAAAGTACCAAGTCTACAATATATATATATATATATATATAGTATACTGTAGCATTACTGTCACTTATATATATACTATATACTATAATGGCAACATTAATTATATATATAGCTCATTACAGCATTAATGGTACATATACTACATATATATAGTTCATTACAGCACTGTACAGTATATATATATATATATATATATATATATATATATATATATATATATATATATATATATATATATATATATAAAATTATTCGGGGACGGGGCGGGGCGGGGAGGGGTATCCCCGTCCCCATCCCCGTCCCCGGCGGGGAATCACACGTATTCCCCGTCCCCGTCCTTGTTTCTCGAAAATTTTCCCCATCCCCATCTTTATCGGGGCGGGGATCGGGGATCCCCGTCGGGGACGGGGCACATTGCCATCCCTAAATATATAAGTGTGAATGGGTGAACACCTCACAGTTATAACAAAAAAGTCTCAACACATATAATACTGAAAAACTAGGAGAATAAATAGCTGTCAATAGTAGTAATTTCAAAGCAGTCTTATTAAATTTTTAGTTGCCAGATTGTATTCGATTAAGGTGCGCATTATTTGATGAAGCTGTGAACAAAGGATATCATCAGTTAATTAAAGAAGACACTTTCATACAATAACATAAAGCTTCCAATAATGAAATTACTCTGATCTGAAAAATGGTTTGATGACATCTTAACAGTGATAAAAACTGAAGCAATGTGATAGAAAATCCACATGTATACATTAGACATGTTTATCAGACTACTCACAACACATTTCATATTTCTAAAGTAGTGATGAATACACATAATAGATAAAACACTGAGGTGTGATTAATTTAAAAACATTACATTATTGGGTGAAAAGCTGTTGAAGTTGGGACATATGCAGTAATTCTTTTTCTTATGAAGGTCACCATATCCAATGTTAGCAATCTTATGATTTCAATTGTACTATGTACAAAGTCATGTCTAGATGTTAAGATCCTATACTAATAGAATTATATATTGTCAAAGAAAATTGAAATTAGTTTTCAATCTCATTTGTATTATTATATATATACATTTTTGTTACGTCAAATAATTGTCAAGCATTTAACAAGAATCGATTTATTTTATACATCAAATTTATTGCTATCATAGTATTTTAAATAAAGTTAGCAACAAACTAAAACATCATGCTGCCTATAAATATTTGGATAGGCTACTATATTTAATCAGCCTTAGTGATTAAACAAGATTAGTTGTTCTCTAAGACCTGTCATATATAACAATACATTTCTAATTAAATTTCTAAGAACCCAGTAGTTTAAGTACAATTCTTCAGTTTATAGCCATGAAGAATTGAAATTAACAGGTTCAACGATTATTGGAAGCAAGAGGAAACAATGTGAATAAAACAAAGGTGAGTTCAAAATGTACCCAATCTTTCTACACTACTTTACAACTCTATTTTACAATTGCTCAGTTCAAATACATGTACATACAACTCTCAAGTACCAGTTTAGATGAATCTAGGTTTAGAGAAATCTTAATTTACGCCAAATTGAATAATCAAAATAAGTTACAAATTGAATCAAATAAAAATACTCAAGATTCGAATGCATGCAATAGATCAAAGAAGATAAAGCAATATCCCCTTAAATCAGAAAAAAAATTTCAATTTGAAAAAGATATTACCAATTTTAGGACCATCCGATCGAGACCCATGCATCAAACAAGCCTGCGTCTTGAATTTTCCATGTCCGGTGTTGGAAATTTATATAGTAATGGAGATTAATGTTTCAGATGGACTACCATGAAAGCTTAAATAATATTTGGAGTTGTGGAGTTATAAATATTATTTTAGTTTGGTAGAAAGTAAGTTGGGAAAAATGATTTGGAACCGAAGTTTCATGATTCGTTGGTGTTAACGAATCATTAGTTTTAAACGAATCAATGCTTTCGGTGTCTATCAAATCGATTGGCATCTGCTTTGTTGATTTGGTGGGGTTATGCATGGAATATATATGTGTATCCTTTTTTACTCTTTGCATGGTCACATGCACTCAAGTAAAACATAGGTATATGTATATATTGATATTATTTATTTAATAATATTGTATGCATATGAAATTGCATACTTTGATTAGTTACATATATTTTATATGTAATTATCTTTTCCCATGTATTTTAGATAAGATTTTATCTTTTTGGAAGTTCAGTTTTAAATTTAAAAGTTAACTTCCGATGTAAACTTCTCCAACTAATTTATTTGCATCTATAAATATTGGAGAAACATCTGAAAAACATATATGCAAAAACTTGCATTAAACTGAGATTTTCGCAATCTTACAGTTCTTCAGGAAATTCTCAAACAAAGCAAATTGAGAATCTCATTCATCTTCTTGTATCCCATAAGATTAAATCTTGAACCTTGTTGCTTTTATAGAGGGAGATTTAAAGCTTATAGGAAAGTGATTACACGCTTGAAGATATCAAATGATCCAGTTTTTGTTCCCTGTTGTATTCTATATTATTGTTGTATCTCAAATGTATTACAGATTACAATCCCTTTTTTCCAACAATATATAAGCTTTAAATATAAACATGTGATCATTGATCTTGCCTTGAAAGTTTTGAAGGCAAGATGTTAGGCGTGAAAGAACAGTTTCCTATCACGAAAATATTTCAAAATGAGATTTTCGAATTTGGTGGTAAGGATGACATAAATCACTTCCTTTCTATTGTACAAGAAGATTTTCATGCGGCTTTTGCATGGTGTTCCTGGCATGGTAATTTAAATGCATGCTGTGCAGTTTTGTTTTCATCTCCACATAAATTCATGGGGTATTAGATTATACCAAGATGATTAGTGAGATGTGAAAATGATTTTATTTAAATAAATCATTTTGTTAGCCATGATTAATTGGCATGAGGAGATGTGAGTGGGTGTGTGGTTTCAGCGTATCAAAGGCCGGAAGTGATGACCATTAAAGCAGATACAAGTTACAGGATGAGATCGGTACAATACTTTTTATTTGTCTCGGCCTCGGCATGAATGTAAGTTTTATCTTGTTTACTGGTTAAGTTCTGGCTTAGGTCTAGAAGATATGCATGAGATTCTTTTGAATTTTGCATAGCCTGTTAAATACAAGGATATGTTTATGCATGTATATAAATATTTTTATATTGAGACTCTGTCTCGATTGCATGCATAGTATACAAGGTACATGTATAATATGTTGAATCTTGAGGTGCTGTAAATCTGCCAAATTTGAATTAATTTGGTGTTATCAATTTTTTATTTTCTTATGCATGGTTACAATGTTTAATGATTGTAAGTTGAAATTAATTTCAATGTCATGCATGAAATTATTGATAACTTTAGCACACAAAAAATTTATCCTTGTGAAAGTGTGAAATATTATGTTATATATATTTCTGATTAAGGCAGGAAGCCTTTGAAATATTTGTTATATTTCTGATAAAGGCAGAAAGCCTGGGAAATATTCTGTTATATTTCTTATAAAGGCATACAGAAACTTTTATGCATGAAGTATGCATAATGAAATTCATAAAAATTTATGAATGTATTTAACACACAGTTTCTCATATTGAGAATGTGTTTAAATATTGAAAGCCAAAAAGTTTACTGGTTTATCTAGTATGAAAATTGACAGTGAAAAGAAAGTTTTAATTTAAATCATGGACTATGATTTAAGAAGGTATGATTCTTCAGTTTAGAAGAAACATGAAAAGTTAAAAGATAAAAATCATATATGATTATTCCCCAAAGTGAATGGATATTTCTGAATGAGGGAGGTATATCAGTATATGATTGTTCTCCAAAGTGCATGGTATTCCAAGTGGAGGAGGTTTAATTTTTTATTTTAAGGAATCACTCACTGTTAATGTTAATTATTTCTACATGGTGATTGAAAATTCTTGGTTATAGAATTTACATGAAAATAAATATTTATTGACTAGGAACCTGTAAAATGGGTTTCAGTATGATCAAACAAATATTTTATTTTCACAGGTTCATTGATTGAATATTAAAATTCTATGATGCCAGTTATATCTAATCAGGAAGAGTTTTCCTCAATTAGTGGATGTGTTTATCTGCTTGGAGGAGGTGTTTTTTCCTGGGTTTCTAAAAAGCAAAGTTGCAGTTTAGATTCAACTATGGCATCTGAATTTATTGCTTTGGTTTAGGCATGCAAAGATGTTAATTGGCTAAGGAATTAATTTATTATGATTCTGGTTTGGCCAAAACCGATGTCACCAGTTTTGTACATTATGACAGCGCTACTACACTGGTCATATCATATAAACAAGTGTTTATAAGGCACATGGGCTTGAGTTTTAGCTATGTGGGAAATCCTTGGTAATAGTGTTGTAGCACTGGACTTGGTACAGTCCCGGTTTTAACGGATCCGTTTGGAAAAGTCTTTGCAAGGGACACGGTTTTAAAGACATCGGAAGGGATATGGAAAGCCTAAATTATTTAATTGCAAGTGAAGGAAAG